AGGGCGGCGGGGGGGTGACGGGTAACAGCACCTAAGGGCGGGTGGGGGGATGCAGCTCGAAAGGGTGGCGGCATGGAGGAGCCCTCGCTGGAGGCTCTCATGCAGGCGGGCCTCATCTTCGTGGTCAGTGTCGCCATCATCTTCTCGAATCTCCTCATCATCGCCACCTACCTTAATTTCCGTGGTAAGTGCTGTAACATGTTTCAACTATACTGCGAATTTTTACACATTTATTAACACCGCAACTACCAAATCTGTAATCTGTAAAATGATAGATTTCAGACGTTTTTAACAAATTTCACGCATTTGTTTGAAAAATAAGGGATTACATCGGGCTTTTTTTTCTTTTCCTAAATGGTCTTATGAATTGAATTAAAAAAACATAAAAATATTGTTAAATTATGTTATTACTGTATATATAAAAGTATAAGAGTCGCAAATGCATGGTTGGAGTAAGATATTTGGAACGAATATTGGACATCATCTAATTTTACATAAAAAGACAACATGCCTACCAAATATCACGAAAGTGACTTGTGTAAACATTTTGTTAAAACATATTTCCAGTCTAAAATATAAAAGCAACGCAACAGGCTTAATCATCTATGAAAACGTCGTTATATAGTTCTAGAATCGTTAATTCGTTAATATATCAGATGTAAACTGCGGCGATTTTTTACTTGTCCGATAAAATATTAGAACGCTTTATCGCGCGCGCTTAAAAGAAATGTTTGCATATAATCAATCAAATAACACAATAGCGAAATTTAATCGTACTAGTGTTTTATATATTTTATGCGTGATTTCGTGATATTACCCTGGCAATCGGTGTTGCAATGACTTGTAGTTTCTTTGTCGCTGTGGGTTTCTTTTAATTGCCTCTCCCGGTGACCCTGTCACCGCAGTACAACGAAAAAGCAATAAAAACTGTAACATTCGGTGAAACCCGACCGTTTGGTGATTCACACTCGAGGTAAATACAAATGAGAATCACACCGCATAGGTCCCTCCGAGGTGATAAACTACTACTTGCTATCTCTCGCTTCGGCGGACCTTCTTTGTGGTCTGCTGGTGGTTCCGCTCTCGGTGTATCCAGCGTTGGTACGACGATGGGTCTATGGGGACGTCGTGTGTCGTCTCGTTGGCTATTTGGAGGTTACTCTCTGGGCGGTATCTGTTTACACCTTCATGTGGATTTCTGTGGATCGGTATTTGGCCATCAGGTACGTAAAATTCAATCGTAAAATATTTTCTTTCCGTATCGACTGATAAAATGTAAATAAATCTAGAAATCTGTAAGATCTAGAAATATTATGGAATTTTTTAATAAGTTTTATCTTTGCAACTTTTCTCTTTTTTTTTATTAGTATTCTTTGAAACGACAAGTAGCATTCGAGAAGAATATCGGATAAATAACTCTAACTTTTAATGTTCGTCTGATATTCAAAAAGCTGGATATAACGATGAAAGTTTTTACATCTTCTCTACGTGTAGAACTTAATACATATATATACCTTGAGTACGCGATTAGATGGTAGGTTTTGTATTCTTAGATATACAGTTGAAGGTATATAAATTCAAGTTCACGGTATACATATCACCGGAAAGAATACGATAATCTTGATATTCCTTATAATCTACAATAGCTTTATCGTTTATTAGCCTAACAGATTCGTATCACAGTAATATAGGTCTAAGATGGAGCGATAACCGATGTCAAGATTATAGGTAAACTAAAATCTAGACAATCTTCGACAACCTTTCTAATTCATTTCGCCTACATCTTCGATCAATAACTTACATTGCACCATTTACTATTGTATATATATAATAATTGTCCACTTACATTATTCGTTGGAACGAAAATTCTGTATCCTCGACCTTTCATTTCTCTATCATAAACTCAATTGGAACCTTTAACTTTTCGATCTACACTCATGTTCATAAGTATTAGAATACTTATTACGACAAGTAGGCGAAGCTTAAATAGTTATTAGAAACTTTATTTTATTCGAAACTTTGCAATATAAAAAATCTGTTGTTGTATGTCAAATATATAAATATCATCAATTATAGATTGAAAGTTAATTAAAAATCATGAATTGGACGATGGCACTCTAATTTATTATTAATTAATATATATTAGTACATTATTTTTCATTTTGCTTGTTATTTTTCGATTCCATACATTTGCGAACCAGATTCAAGTTTCTCGATAAAATCTCAAACATCGTAGAATTGCGCGTGTTAATATACTACTAATTCGTTATTGATAATTCTTATCACTCTTGCAAATAACTTTGACAGATTTTTTTCCGTATTCTAAATCTTTGCCCTGCATGAATAAATAACTTTAGTCGATTAATCATTTCCCTAATAACCTGGATCAATTGTCACGGTTTATGCGAGATCAGCAGATATCCTGATACTTATGAACACAAATGGAATGTACTAAAACGTTTTAACTTCTCAAAGCATAACTTTACAGGTACAGAAGTTTAGCTTGAAACGTTTTCCTATTCGTACGAGTATTAACTAACAAAACGATTCGGTTTCACAGGAAACCATTGCGATACGAGACCGTGCAGACGAAAACCCGATGCCAGTGCTGGATGGTCTTCACGTGGATCAGCGTGGCGATGATGTGCTGTCCGCCTCTTCTAGGTTTCCAAAAGCCGATTTTCGACCGGGAGGCGTTCATCTGTATGCTCGATTGGGGCAACATGGCTGCTTACACCATCACACTGTCGATCCTCGTGCTAGGCCCATCGGTCATCACCATCGTCTACACCTATTGCTACATCTTCACGATGATGAGACGACTAAAATCCGGCGTACTGATTCACGACAAGGAGTACGCGACCGCGCTCTCGGAAAACTTGAGCAATCCGAGTCATATCATGTCCTTTGTCCTGGTGATGACTTTTTGGGTGTCCTGGGCACCGTATGCCGGTCTCCGGATATACGCTGTCGTTAACGGACCGCCGCAGGTAATTTAAACGTCCCTCCTCTCTCTTTCTCTCTCTCTTTCTGTGTGAACGCAACGAAACATAGGGGAAAGGTCAGTCTCGACGTGTTCATACGAGACATCGTGAATTTCGTCTCGCTTTTAGATGTTTCGAGAGTTATAGCTTGCCTTTAAATATAAAGTTTTAGAATAAAGGTTTCGCGTTATGTCGATCTCTTTTTACGTATGTTGGTCTTTTTTCACATAGTCTGTATGTCTTTTTGCATTGTTTTCTGCCTGTGAAGAGAGGTGAAAATAATATTTTTGGCTTTAATTAAAGTTCAGGTTTCATTAACACGTTCGTTGCTAATGATGCATACGTTACATCGATTCTATTGTTTTATTTAAATTCGACACAATTCTACTGGAGCAGTTATTGCGTTTCTGAGTTTGTACGTTTCGAGAGGAAGAATTCTCGGCGTTTGTTAAATAATATTGCGCGCTCTTCGCGTTCTCGTATAACAAGCTCTCGACGTATAACACGACGCAGACTTTCGCCTTGTAAGGAAGACCTGTATCGCGATATTTAAATTACTTTTACAATTCACAGATGTTAATGTTTACGCTGCAGGTGCCGTTTCTCCATTTCGCAGTAGTGTGGTTGGGGGTGACGAACAGTTTCTGGAAAGCGGTGGTCCTTGGTACCCTGAGCCCGCAGTTTCGACTAGCGGCTCGTGTGCTCTGTCTGACGTTGTGCTGCCGGCACAGACGACTTCCGCCGGAGCTGCTCGGCCTCGACGACGACGATTAAAAGCCAAACGCCTACGAGAACAAGAGAGGAAACGCTTTCCTTTTGCGCGCGAGCGTTCTACAACACGCGCCCCATTCTTAGAGCATCGCTTTTTATCTCTCGGTATTCGAGGTCGTTTCTTGCATCCGCCACCGTTCTCTCGGAGTCTCCTTCGAAGGCTGAGACTGAGATTCTTTGTTCCGAAAAGCGCTACCACGACGTCCGACGAGTAAGACGCGCGATCAATCTGGTCGCGTCTCAAAATACGGAATAAATTTCAGGGAACTAGTAAAAAAGAAATGACTTTTCACCAACGAACTTCTTCGATAAACGCCAAACTTCTCTGCCTCGAAAGAAGAATACTTCCTTTTCAGTCACTGTTTCCTTGCAAATGATCGTTCCTTAGAGTCTCTGGATATTTATCCGATCCATTTATTTTCCGTTTCGCGTGGACGCGATTCGATTAAGACTATTGCTTTCTGTTTCTCTTTCCACGCCACAGGAAACGAATTATTCCTAGCCGAACACGATTGATCGGCCAAGTACAATAACGTAAATCTCTCCGTAAGATCAACGAGCAATCAAGCGCCACGATAATAAACCGAAACTTCGAAGACTAAGATTTTTGCTAACTGAATTACCATTTGCCGTTAGATCAGTTCGTCTCGACTCAAACTGTCAAACCGCGTGTAATTAAGAACCTAACGAACCGTTAAGACGATTAGAGAAAAAGATGTTAAGAAAATTAAGACGTCGAAAAAACGAGAAACGTGTCTGACAAAGACACGTGGTCGCTTCTTCGTCAAAACACTTCTTATTCGAGTTATTTAAAGAAATCGCGTAAACTATTAGGGTATTGCTTTTTCTATACGATTTCGATTGAAATATAATCGATTATACGTATATACACATATATAAATATACAGATGTGTACATGTCTGTTATTAAAAGAATCCACGTTATCGACAAAACGTGGGAACGAGCGTGGTGTAAGGCCGAAAGAAAGAATCGAAGCTCAGTCTGGGGCGCGTTTGTCGCGCGATCAAGATTCTCGAAAGGGACGCGATCCTCGTGGACGAATCGTCGATCGAACATTCACAACGGAGGACATCCTGTTCGTTTTGGCGACGGTTCGCTCGACGCTGATCGTTACAGTCCGGATTAATTAAATCGGAGACGCCCTGTTTATCTACTTTTTGCTTTTTTCCTTCTCGAAGAACGCTCTCGAAAGTCGACGAAACGCGGAGAGCTTTCTCGCGCGTTCCTCTCCTCTCGGTGGTTTCAGGAGAGCGTTCTCGGAAAACTAATCGTTGCCTATATCTACGTGGTAAGATCACGCTCAAACACAATTATCTTAGCGAGTCGCGATAAATTAACGTGTAAAAGTATAACACGAGGACGAGCGAAGAGTCGCTTGCGATCGCGTAGCATCCTGCGCGATTACGAAACTAAAATCGATCGAAGGGGGATGCGAAGGGAAGATGATTAAGCAGGCGAACACAAAATACAAGAGAACACTAGGTCAATTAACGGAGATGCCTCTACGAATGCGACGCCGCGTCAATCTGCGCGCCCGTAGAACGCCCATGTGAAACAAAAACTCGCGGACGGGATTTCGATCGCGACGGTTATACGCTTTTTTTAACGCGCTTCCTCCTCTACTCGGCCTCGCGATCGGGCTCCCTTCCACTCTCTCTTTCTCGTTTTTAATCAAACTTGGGCTGACACGTTTTACTTTTTCTTCTCCTTCGAATTTCTTCTCTTGCTTCTAGTTATTAAATCCTCTTGCAAGTTTCTGTGGTTTTCATTTTGTACGAACATAATTCTATCGAAATCGAACGTTTTTATTTAAAGTGATTTTCATAATTATTACCGAATTGTCGCAGAAAATATTTCTAAGTACCTCCTTTTCATTCTATTATTTCCTTCGGTTTGAACAAACTGGAAGCTTCTATTTGCTCACTTTTCACAGGTACATTACACGATACAACTGATATCTCTTAAACGATCGAATCGTGTCGTTGGTATCTGATTTTTAGCAGTTCTTGCTTTAACGGAAGGCAAACCTCCTTGTTGGAGAAGAAAAAGAATGGGAAGATACGATTCGCCGGATTGTGACTCGTTTCACAGCGCGATTCTAGATCTGCTTCTGAAAGTGAAGGACTTGCGGAGTTGGAAACTCGATTATCGAGCGTGAAACTCAAGCAGGCACGTGTTTCCATCATACGGGATCGAATTTCAATTAAAATGGTAATCAAACTTTCACCAACGGCGCGTTACGAAATTCTGGCCGCCGACGGAAGCAATAAATGCGCGAGATTAATTGAATGGAAGTACAAGAAACTGCGAGAGAGCCGTGAACACGGGTCGAAGGAAGCAACGTCGTTATATAGTTGTCGAATCGTGGATCGTGTTAAAGTTAAATCGCCATTATTCCATTTTCCGGTCAAACCGTCGCGTCATGGGCCGTCCGCTGCGAAAATCTAATTTAAAACTCGCCCCCGTTTCTTACTCAAAGGGAAATCGACCGACATGAAACGCAACGCAAAAACTTAGCGAAAACCGTTTCCCGTGGGTGGAGAGAAAGCAACGGCTATTAATAAAACGCGAGATTCATTTATAAACCTGGCCATTTCTATAGCGAATAAAGTCCACTGTTTGAGTACCGCGGTTACGAATGTTTCACGGCTACGCGGCTTTTATATAACGGAACTTTCCGCGACGTTTCCGTCATGGCGATATTTATGCCTCAACAGTGTGCGTGTTATACGTAATTGGCGATGAAAAGCTGCGTGTAATTAACCGTTTCGTTAAGCAGAATATCGCGGATATCTTACGACGGTTTAAATTCAATTCAGAAATGAATTGTATATCGGAGAGAGTAATTTGACGCAGGTGGAAGTTCCGCGTTTTTACTTTCGTATCTTATTTCGTTATTGCATATTCTTTAACTGGTCTACAGTGGGGATATTTAATCGTTGAAAAAGATGAATATATGAAAAAAGAGGGAATACAATTCGAAACACTTGGATCGAAGAACGACGTGTCGCTCGAAAGTTAATTAGCGTCGCTTCAAAGTTACAGGCTATTCATCGATTTCTGTGTATGTATGTTCTCAAGGTTTAGAATGGTCTCAGAAGCAGATATAGCATCGGTTACTATTCAGTAAGTTTTTATTACTCGTCTGATCGTACAGCGAAGGAAGAAGGATTATGCGTTGAATTACACGCTTCGTACCTACTTCGTACAAATTATCTGAATTATAACAAGTACGAGAAAAGAAACTAAAGAAAAAAGAGAAAGAGAGAGAGAGAGATAGAGAGAGAAAAAAAAAGCACAGCAAAATATTGTTCCCGCTACGCTCCAAAAAGCGATGCTCACGCGCAAGCAAGTGGGCAAGATCCTGAGATTTCTTGAATGGTGAACGTTAACCCTTTAAAGAAGAAATCCAATACGCAAATCGGTGTCTAGAAAGTCTCAGCTTCTACTCTATTTTTTACTCTAGACTTCGTGTTTTATTAAACTATAAGGCTCTTCTAATAAATAAATCGTAAGCGGACGCCCCGGTCGGGGCTACGAATACCATTAGATGCGCGACGGTAATTTATCGTGCCATTTTGATATACCAAGCTATAAGTTAAAGGGTTAAGGTGCCCGGAAGTGCTCTGAAAACGCAGATGTTAAGGTGCGGAGCGTCGAAACGTTCTTTCGATAATTTACCATCGCTAATGCGTCACATTGATCGAATTATTAAACGGAATTATGACGATTATTCGATGGAATGAGAAATTTATCGTTGAAACGAATTGAAAATAACGAGAGTACGGTTCTCTGATGTTCTCTGATGTTAAGATGTCTTAACTGTAGAACCGAATCGAAGAAAATTTTCGGCTACGTTATAGTTGAAACTTTAGCTATGTAAAACAGCACCCCGGCTAAAATGCAACAAGATAAAAAGCGACGCGACGCCAATCTCTTTGTTAATTGCCGGCTCGTTGATCGTTCGACGAATTGTTCGACAAATTTTAACGATTGTTATGCGACGTGTATCGTCGTTAATTGTTTACCACGAACGAGCAACGTGTCATGCGAGTTATTTACCAGTGCGATGAGTCACGGTATCGATATTCACCGTTCTTCCAAGTATATCTGTTGCGAAGAACATCGATGAATCCTAATTAAGATTTATCCTAAGATACACACGTCCATCCCTGTTTGAAGATCAAAAGCACTTGCGAATTTTTACCTGTTCACGACAACGAAGTATTTTTCGAACGAACTCGCTTCGTTCGCACTTCATTCGAATGCTTTGTATAACTCGCGAAGTCAAAGCAATAATAAGCGGTACGATATAGTGTTGATTTAACGCAGTTAAATGATTAATTCCTTTCTAACGATGATTCGTAAATGAGTTGAGGAGGTAATCGTGAAGGAGGGTACCGTCACCCGTCGTATTGTTAATAATTCCAATAAAATTGATTGAACAAAAACGCAACAGTTTTGTCTATGTTTCGTTTCTTTTTCGTTTCGCGAGATATTTTTATTTCTGTATAATGTTTCCGCAACTTCTTTAGCCGGGGTTGATCGTGGCGCATAAATGAAAGAAAAAAAGAAAAAAAGAACGAAGAAAATGTTATGATTTTGCTGCGAATGTCTCTTCGTGTATGTATGTACATATTAGATCGCGCATGCCACGATTCTTTCGTCCAGATCCATCGTTACGCGCTTTAAACTTTTACGATGCAACGTCCCGGGTGCACGCCGACACAGGGATAAGCGCCCACCTGGCCCGGATGAATGTTCCTTCCGCGATCAGGCGATTCCATCGAGTGTCCGCCGTATTCATCTTCATAGTGTCGACAGAGATTCATTTGGTAAAAAGAATTTTGTAAATTCTAAACTGCTTTCAAACGGGTTTTGTGACGATGAAGTTCTTTTGCTTTTTGCAAGAACGTTCGATGTAATTGTTTAAGCGTTATTTAAACGTGAAATGATTACTTGAGCTGAGATAATGTTTATAATATTTATTTGAACGTATCATTATGTTAAGCGTGTCTGTTATTTCATTTACGAAATGCTTATGAATCTTGATACACTTAAAATTCTATTACACTTCTATTGATGCTGATGAAGTTAAGCGTAGAAGGTTTCCCAAATCTCTTACTCAGCTCAACAATATCTTTTTTTCATATCAAATTTGCTAGATTTATTTAAACATGCTGTTCCTAATATTCTCTTTCTTATTAAAAAAAAAAGGAGAATAATACGCGAACTTCTAAATCAAAGCTATCTTAATAACGAATGAAATAATCCGTTTCATTAAAATATATTCTTCATTGAAATAATTATTTCAACATAGTATAGACTGTATTGAACATTTGTATGCGATGTCTATCAAATGTTCTTCTTAACAATTATTTTGAATAGCAACCAGCCCTCTAAAACGTAAGATTTCAACAGCAGGACGCGCCCTCCCTAAAGCAGAATTTGATTACTTCGTAATGCCACACAAGAGGAGAAGCAAGCAAAGCGATGGTCGCTTGAAACATTTATCAAACGGGAACACCAGTCGAAATACCAGCTTCCGGGCGTGTTCCATCAAAGCCGGTGTGCCACCCACGTTAGCGTGCATCCGCGAAACCGCCAAACCGAGCAGTATTAAATTCCTCAGCGATAACGAGATTCTAAATACTTTAAAGTCGCTCAAAGAGAAGGAAGGAACGAGAACGAAGCGAAGGAAGGGAATAAATCAAGCATACAGAACTGGATAAAACAAAAGGAGGAGAAAAAGAGAGAGGTAACAGTACCTGCATCTGAAAAAGGAAGATCGAAGCGTTGCTTCTTTTTCTCATTTCTTTCTCCTCTATATTTTTTCTTTTTTTTTTTTCTTCTTTTCCTCGTCTTATGATAAAAGCAACGCGGATAAAAATAACGACGAACTGAGAACGAGACGAGGATGAAAGGAAAACGCGAGATTGGTCCCTGGCAGTTTTCCGGGCGGCCTTCGTTATTAACGATTAATTACATTTTTGTACCTAGCTGCTAGTTTTGTACTAGTTTTGTAACGTACCTCACCACCGGACGTGCTGTTATTGCATATTTTAAGTGGTTGTTAAAACGGAAGGTTGATCGATCACCCACGAATGTCCGGCGTCATAATGTGGTTGTGTACGATCGATGATCGTCGCGATGCTGAACCCGCGCTGCCTTGTGTGATAAACATGACATTGGGACCTCGCGAATATTTCATTTTCATTCCGAAAGTTTTGACAGAGAAGCGAGTTTTCAACTAAAGACGCTGGAAACGGTCGATACTTGCGCGTTTCTTCGACCTCCATGAAACGGACTTGACGCGAAATACGAGGAAACTCGTCGATTGCGACGATCCATTGAAACTTGCATTCTCTCGCTCTCTGTCTACGTTGTCCTTTGAAACGATATATTTCTCTTCTGTCCGATCTCTTTCGAGTAATTGGAATAAACGAAACGGAATAAAAAAGTAACAATAATTGGTCGATACATTGCATCGTGATTATCACATGAGACACACAGGTTGCAAAGTACAATAGTATCTTGAGGTTTCACCTGACAGGCCGAGAGTGCTTTAAAGAGTCATTTCAGCGCTGCAAATGAAACATCTAAAAAGAGATAATAAAAGGTAAAGAAAAAAGAGAAGAAGTATTCTCGTTAATTAATATCCATTTATTGTTACGATAATCTATATATCTAGAACGAAAGAAGTAACTGGTTTGCGAATTTATCGATTCTAAAAATGTTCTATTTGATCGCTGAAATACTCGATCTTGCGCGCAAGCAATCAAAAACACGAATTAACTCGCAAGAAAAACTCGTTGTTAGGATGCAAGCATGCGTTTTATTCACGCTTTGCCTGTTGTCTGTTTCAATGTTTAGATCGATCGATTTTTTCCACGCGTATCAACGAGCGCTTTCGTTAAACAAAAAGGAGAAGATGTTGCGATCGTGCGTGTTGTTAATGAAGCGTTTAATTTCGCGTGCTTTCATCCTGCATGCGTTGATAACTTGCGATCAGGACGCAGGAAACTCGAATCACGGTGGATTCTACGGTGCGATTCTAGTTGTCCGAGCGCAATGACAGGTGTACTACATACGTCGTGATACGAATTCGACGATAACGGTACAATATTAACGATTATTGTCCTAGCGCCATAGAATAGTAAGATGATATTCCAATAATAAATGGCGAGATCGTAGATATCGCAAATTTCACTCGATATACGACTCGGTATAACGCTTTGTATTCATTTATTCCAATATCCTTAACAAGCATCGATTACGCGATTATTGAGATTTTGATTGCGAAATTCGCTCAAATTAACGAGGACTTGTATATTTGTGTGCTTCTACGTTCGTTACACGTTTCTTTTTAATAAAACGAAGTGCCATGCAATTACTAATGCAGATGTTAATTATCGAACAGTGACTTTAAAGGTGATTCTAATTTATTCGTTATGATATTCATTCCAATCCTGTGATTTTCTTTCTACATTGTTTGTTGTTATCGAGAAGATTCATCGATCAACATCGATCGTATATGCACGAAAGATTTTGTATTATTCTCAATTATATACTATATGGTCTAGCTTTTTTGTACTCGATAGTTTTTGCTCTATATTTTAATACGTTAATAATAACGATTTTTTAACGAGTATCTCTCGCGAACTCTACGAAACAAGGAAGAGAATTTCGAAGAATTTTATCTACGAAAACAAAATATCTCATCTTCGAGTAAAAGACGAACTATTGTAAAAAACGTTCGACTATTTGTTCGGAAATGATTACTTCCGCCAACGTACAATGATTCGTAAAAGTATCGTGGATATTTACCATAGAAAACTTTTATAAATATATGTTATGTGTATCGTACGAAACTTTTTGAAATCTTACGAACACCAGAACGAGGCATCGTCATATTGGCAAAATTAAGAATAGGCTTTTTCCGCAAACGGTTGCCAGCGTATCGTTCGCGTTCATGACCCCGTTTTTCCCAGACATTGGTCAGGAAATGTAGGTCGCGCGACGTCGAAGGAACTCCTCGCCTACGTGTTACATAAATGCGCCTTAACCCCTGTGTTCGCGGCGGTCGCGCGCCATTAATATGGTCGCGAGACTCGAGTGTGTCCGTCCTGACACGGAGTGGTACTACTTGCAACAGCCTACCAGTCATTAGTCAATACACCGACGTTAGTCGATACACGCGGTGGCCGCTGGTCCGCAACCGGCAGCACGAGGCTGGAATAGGGTCGAAAACCCCTTCCATCGAACGGCTTCCTGGAAACAGAACGATACTTGCTGGCAAACTTTTGAATTCTTGCCAGCCTCCTCCATTGTTCTCATCGACTGATCGATACTATTTTATTGCCCGCGTGTGCAAATCTTGCACGCCTCTCGGCGATTTCCTTCTCGTTGCATCTCTCAGATTCGAACGCGATGAAGCCTTTTGATTCTCTTTGATTCAATTTCAGATGATTTGTTGCTGAGAATTGTTTCGCGGCTGGCTTTGAAGAGGAGAAGAGGGAAGGTGAAAGAATGGAGATCGATTTTTCAATTTTATCGAGGATTTTAGAATTTTATATAAATATTTTCGCAAGATAATTTTACTTCGCGATGTTTAGCTGTTGCTCTTTTGCTTTATCGTTTAGAATTGCAAAGAAATAGCTAAGGGTAACTGGAAAAATGAATTTAGACCTCGTATAGAAAAATGGCATTATGTATTGGAAAAGAAATTAGGACATATGTGGATCAAGGGCATAGATAACATTGCAATTTACGTTTAACCTGGAATATTTTTCTTTTAGTATGTCATGGATTTTAATTCATTCGTTTCATTCGGTTCGTTAAGATTTCCTACGTGCGACGGCCCAAGAAGATGTATGTACATGACTCTGGAATTTGCATTTCATCTGGAATATTTTTCTTTCGAAATAACGAAGATCGAGTCGAAATTATGTGATAATATTGAACGATAGATTCAAGAGTATTAAATGCACTGATGCTAGCTTGAGGATAGTTGTAACGTTAACAAAGGTAAGGTTTGGGATTTTACCATTACCAAAAGATGAGACTTATGTTATAAGTCGAGGGACTGACGTAATATACGAAAGATAGAAATAAAATATGTACTCTTGGAACGTTGTAATAATCTATGCGAGAAATGATATTATTCGGAGAATAGAAAATTTTATCCGAGTTTCTGCAAATTCATAACTACTTGTACAACTTGCCCTTTAATCGAGTATAAATATATTTCTTTCTAATCGTTTCACAAACACTATTTTGTACCTCTTTTTACCCTTATTTTCACAGTAACATTTAGTTTTAATTCCAACCACTACTAATGTCGCGATCTTATTCTATACTGAATCGGTAACATTGGAAACGACACTAGAATGATAAGAAAGTTTGCTACCGCCCGAGACAAAGGACGAAGAAATACATTGGCTGATAGATCTATCGTATACCTTATCTATGCATATATCTTGCCCGAGCCACTGCTCATTTCCTTATCGCGATGATGACTCCTCGCTCGATAAAACCGTTTATCATAAACTTCTCTTCTTTCTTCTCTCAAAACACTTTCACCAAATTTCTTATCCATTTCATAAGACATTATTTTTTATTTTATCGTTCCTCTATCGTTCGTGATTATCGTTCCTCTCCTATCAGAGATACAACGGGATTTTCTTCGTACATTTCATTGGTACCCTAATAATGGAACATCGATAGTATGCAAACTAACAGGTACAAGAAGGAGTAGAAACAAAGGGGTGGCGGAAGAGAGGGACAAGGGTGCATTGTTAGCTAAGAGACCGGGTAACAGAGTTAATGTCGCATTACGGCGTTGACTGCATAAGAACGTCGGTTGTTCGAAATCGTGAAAGCGCGAAGAAACAGTGGGGAAGAAATTCATCGAGATGACGGAAACCACCGAGGAAGCCAGAGTGAGCATTGACAAAAGGATTAATGTTAAATAGCCTCGAATAGGACGTTTCAATTGAATAGTTTCTCACGACGGGAATAATTAAACCTAATTAGCACGGTAACGAATGGTTGCTAAGGACATAGTAAATAAGGATTCCATTTCGTACGAACATTTTTCTACATATTGCTACGAACCTACCCTTAAATCTCGATTAGATAACAAACACGATATTCCAAACTTTCTAAATTTTCACTGTTGCTTCACGCGTGATTCGTTCTGAGGCTCGTGCGATTTTCGTTTTATCGCATTCGTGAATCGATGTTGTTACACGTAAGAAACATACACTTTCGTATGCAAATACGAGGCAAGCTCGTATCGTTGTTCTACCAAGTGATTCAGAATATGTTCGAGATGCAACTACGTACGTTAATCGAATATTGACACGTATATTAGTCGATTAGTGATACAGATGGTTGTTCTCGATCTGCGTGTTAAGAGGATATTCGCGTGCACGTTGGGTAATGTGGTACGAACCATATTTAATACCGGTTTGATCGATGCGTTGTTTGAAAAACCTCGTAGAAGATGATCATTTTATTCGTTGATGGCGATTCGAGCTGTTCGATATTCGTGTAGTCGATCGCGTGCAACGTGTAATTCTCACGTGTAACTTGTAATGGTTAGCTCTCGATAAAAGCGAAATTGTTAACGAGTGAGGAGAATAAGGTAGAGGCACGTATACATATTGATAATAGGAAATTACAAGTAATGGTTTTCATTGATTTTAAATGATCGACATATGGAGATCTGATTTTAACTTTTTGATTTTGTGATCAATTCAGTTTGAAGTATATTTTTAAATACTTACAAATACTTTAATGGTAGTAATATATTTATATCTCGATTTTGTAGTATAGCATATAGGAAATGGCGTACGCATTTATGTGCTACATTGTACATAAATGTAATCGTATTTATATACACATAAAGCGAGATGCGGGTAGGACAACTGTGACATCAAAAGTACATATATATACCTACATATTACACGTATAAAGTGAAAAAGTTTTTAGTTATATTATTAATACGAAATTAGTATTTTATGTACGATTAATTGAACTAATTTTTTGCAGACCTACTCCATGCAATGAATATAAATAATAAAGCAAAATGTAGAAAAACAATATACGCGAGGCAATACACGAGCACTGGCAATCTACAAATTGAAACAGAAAAACTAAAGTTACATTTTAATTTCAAAACATTCGCTGCAATACTAATTTTAAGCAACATCGTCGAATCATCGCTTAAAAAGCGATGTTGAATTACTAATATTTCCGGTTGTATCGTAACATGCTGGTTAATCCGGTGGCAGAAAAATATAAAGCAAAAGCAACGCTTCAGAAGATAAGAATAATCTTTGTATACAAATACAAATACTCATACGTAACTTATTCTTGTATACTCGTTGCAGAGCTGTTAGCTTCATCGTCGCGCATACGCAGCAACTGGATCGTGGATTCACAAATAAGAAATATTCACAACATGTTGTAAGAATCGTCGCTTTGACGAATATCTCGATCACCGATGCAAAAAATCGACCAATATTAATTTTAAAACATGCACGATGTAATCCATCACTATCATTAATACCACGAATGTTGTTCATTGTTATATGGACTATTCTTGTATAACATGATTTTACGACAATGGAAGAAGAATACACACTATGTGGTATCAGTATCGACTACTGTCGACAGAATCGCGCGGAAATTCCCACACGACACGAACGATACGTAGAAGGGCGGTACCAGACACGAACTCGTGGCACTGGATATCCGCTCCTTACACTACTTCGGAAGTCTTTCAGTTCGCCGGTGTAACTGTCGGTGAATCCCGCCATCGCGCTATCCATTCTTTTATCGTGTAATTGTATCGTCTTTGCCGGTTTAATTCGTTCGACCATGTTCGTGCAAGCTCCTGCTTTGTTGGTTCAACAGAAGTCGGAGAATTCTGAGGAAGGCAGCGACGAAGAAGGGACCGGTGATGTCCTCCAGGTCTATTGTTCTTTTGCTTTTTGGCCGTTTTATTTTATATTTTCTTTTGTTATTATCCGAAGCGCTGAGTGAAGCTACCGATTACCGTAATACTCGATAATGAAATATTGTCATAAGTGAATATGAAACAGTGATTTTTTAATGTATCGTGCACGTAGTTAAGTTCGCGTAGGACAGTAGGGCAATAAATAATTAGATGAACTGTAGCGATATTAACAAACGCAACTTCACAAAGTCACTCTACTGTGAAATTAAATTGAATTTTTAAAACTCGAGTGTGCGATATAACAATTTATCACATTTTGACAACAGTAGTAAGAAATGACATCAAAAATAAAAAATAAAACTGGAATCGATTAAGCTACGCCATGCTTGTAATAAAGAGGATAGGCGAACATGTCTGACCAATGACAAGGCACTACTACTCGAGCACGGCGTATAAAAAGCAATTAATATCCTTCGATTTGCTTCGCAGAAACGCCGAGAAGAATGCGAGAGAAAGGCAAGACGAGGGGAGATGGATCCCCGTCTAGAATTCGCTTTCCAACTCTTGATGGATGCTACACAATTGTCCCGCCACGAGGTCATGGATCACGTTTTCGAGGGAGACATGCTGGACGAAATCAATCAACTGTTTTTGCCCCATATGAAGTCCACCCTCGTCTGGTATTATCAAGAAGTGGAGGAATCTGAAACTCTACGTCCTATAGAAACGGTCAAACCTTTTATCTTTTATTTTTGAATGAAAACCGCAATTTAACGTCAAAATTATCAAGCATTTTTTAATATACATATAAATAATTATAATTAAAGTAGTATAATGAAAATAAATTACTCTGTATAACCGTGTTTCTATCTCGATGAAAGTCGATATTAATTTTACTGAAAATATTCACGTGGTCTTAATAATTACCAGGAGAAAGAAACTAAAACTTGTCATTTTGTCGCATTTCGATCTTATTTTGTATGCAATTGTTAAGAATACATAAGTGCTTTCGACAAAATTAATGTTGACTTTCATTCAGATGGAAACGTACTTCTTGCATGTATGTACCTATTTTATTTTCATGATACGACTCTTTATTACAATTATTTATATTTGTATATTTAGTATATTTAGTATTTATTTAGTATATTTAGTATATATTTAGTATATTTAGTATATATTTAGTATATATTTAGTATATTTAGTATATTTTGTATATTTAGTATATTTAGTATATATTTAGTATATTTAGTATATTTAGTATATTTAGTATATTTAGTATATATTTAGTATATTTAGTATATTTAGATATCAGTATTATCAGAGTCTAATTATTCCGGCGTTAATAATAAAATAACCGTGGAATTTCATTTTGCAGATTCAAGCAAAAACTTCGACCACTCGACCAAGTCCAAGCACATCGGTACCGAAAGTTAAAGAACAAAAAGAAATAAAAGAACCAGGGAAAAAGAAATTGTTTCTTACCGATGGATGGCAAGTACCTTGTACTGGAATATGCGTTTACATATTCAGGTATGATATAAAGTATAAGTGTTATACATAACAGTCTTATGAAGTTATAATTGGTAGTCTCACTTCAGTGACGCAAACTCGAAACTTTTATTAGATTAAATATCTCGAAACAATTACCCGAGGAAGGTTTCCAAAAAGATCTTTACACCGGTGTGATAGACACAAAAAAAGTGGGGATAATAACCGCGATACAGAGGGTAGTAGAGTACGTTTTCATGGATGCGCTTGCACATCCTGGCTCCGAAGGAGAGGACGATTGCCCGATGATTAAGAGCCTTTTATTACCGGGGTTAAGATCTTTCTGCAGTGCTCTGAAAGGTAACGATAGAATTATATATACAGTTACTATATTTTCGTAAAATTTTAAGCGATTATATCGTTAAACTGCGAATAATTATGCAAATTTATATTTTTATGAACACGATTAACATTTTTTACGAATGAATAGAAACCTGCAGCGATAGCGTAGAAGTAACGAGCGTGTATTCGATATTTTGAACTTTGATATAAATATTTCGATATTTTATTTTTGATATGAAAACGAAAATATAAAATATTTTCCAAATTTTCTCAGTGTGTGAACAGGTAGCTCACGAAGGGCGCGTATTCGACGACGATGAAGCTCTAATGGTGCAAGTGCGCAACTTCGAGGAAGCAAAAGCATTTATAGCGAAAAAAGACGCTGTGAATATCGTAGAGGAAAGGGTAAGAACGTGGATCAAGAGATTGAAAGACTTCATGGTAGAAAGCAAGCAGGTGAAACGAGAGAATGATAATTCTGGTCCTCAGCAAGAATTGGAATATTGGAAACGAAGAGGAGCACAGTTCAGTCAGTTAGTCAACAAACTTCAGGTTCTATTTGCGTTTTCCTATCGTAGCAGATGATTTTACTGTCGATCGTAATAACGAGTAAACTATTATCTGTGCTACGTATAAATATTTAGGATCACGAAATACGAATGTCGCTTCTTTGTTTGCAAGTTGCGCGTTCCAAGTTGATAAAAGATTGGGTCGATGTAGAGGATGATGTCACTTATTGTTATAACGAAGCGAAGGATAATGCAAAATTTATACAAGCGTTGGAAAAATGCTGTCACTGCTTGTATTTGGACGATCCAGTAAGATAACATATCGTACGAAAAATAGAAATTATTTTTATTTTCCTATATTGTTTTCTATGTGTTTTTATATATATTCATATATATATATATTGATATCACATATTTTTCAGGTGAAGATGAGAGATTCCCTCGTATCGCTATTACAAACAGTTCGTTTAATATACAGCGTGTCGAGGTATTACAACACATCGGAACGAACTAGTTCGTTAATGATAAAGATCACGAATCAAATGATCGTGGCTTGTCGAGATTACGTCACAAATAGAGGTCGAGAAACCGTCTGGGGTCAAGATCGAGCAGTTGCGCGATCGAGGCTGAAGCATTGCTTAAAACTGAACAAGTAAATTGTGGATTCGCTGTTTTCTATCGTTATACTTCGATCTGAGACGTATTGATTCATTTTTTGTCCTTTTGTGTGGGAAATAACAAAGAATACCGTTACATTACAGAGCTTACAGAGAAACTTATAGACTGGTTCGGTGTTCTCCTGCTGTAACCGAACAAGAATTCTCGTTTTCAGAAACTCACGTATTTGGACGATTCGATTCCTTTTGCGATAGAGTAAGAAAAATTTTGACCATGTTCGAATTGATACAAGATTACAAAAGTCTCTTCGAAAGAAGGATGGAGGGTCTTTTATTGGGAGAATGTATGTAATTAATATACAGATGCTATTTGTTTTTAATTCGTTAATATTTATCTACGCTTTTCAACTTTAGATCGTTTCGTGAGCGTAATTTTCATCTTTCTATTTTTTATTTTCTTTTACTCCAATAGCATTGGACGATGCCATAAGAACGTTCGAAGAGGCTGAGAAAGTTGCTACCGCTAAAGGTTACGATTATCTAGATCCAAGGAATACCGAATTTGATACGGACTACAATGATTTCATGACAAAAACTGATACCCTGAAACAAAACATCGGTAACATCATTGAGAAAAATTATGCGGACGTTTGGGAAACTCTTCAGGGTATACGATTTTTAACTCGATTCGAAAAAGTAAAGTGGTGCATTATAGCTGACTAAATAATGCACGAGAATTTGTACATTTGACACGTAAAGTTGCACGTAATTATTGCACTTGAATCTAATTATATGTATGAATGTGTTTCTTTGTCCATATATATTGTATTCAGTAGATCTTAAAATCATTTACTTTCGAAATTTGTTAATACTTTAATATTTCAATATTTTTATTTTATAGTTTCTTCATTTTTGTACTTTT